ACCTATTGTTTCAGAAATGTGTCGTCATGTGATTAGATGGTTTCTGCGCAAAAGGCCGTAATTAATCGTTCCCATACAAAAGCGCTGCCTGATTGGAAAAGTTTTCCTGACCAAAGTTTTTATATTAATGTCTGTCTGTTGTCGATGGAAATAGTTGAAACTACCGGTTTCACACAATTCCCTATTGTCTGTGCTCCTACCAATATATTAATTGAGAAAGTTTTTATGTTTGTTATTCAATCACACAAAATTTACTAAACGGATTTGGATGAAATTTGGTACGCATATAGTTTATAACCTGGATTGAGACACTTCTTATTCCGAAAAAATGTGAGCTTTTCGTGGAATTCTCGATTAATAATATATAGTTTTGATAAAAACTAATGTTAACCGAATGGTTGTCTTGTGAAGTTTCTGCTGTGTAATAGGCGTACAGGCGTGTATATTTTAAAATCTGGCGCCTTGGGGCTATTACAATTTTCAACAAAACAAGAGAAAGTGCTAGTTTAAAAATATTCGTCGTGTATATTTTTGTGTCTGTTCGCCAATATTCTCGAGAGTTAAGCACAGTTCTGCTAAAATCTTTTTTGTTAAGGTTTTGCTCTCTTTTTTTAGTGTGTATGCTGCTGTTCGCAGATGACCTTTACAGCTTCACGATGTTTGGGGACGGCGAGACCGTAAAGGACCTCAAAACGAGAATTGGCGAGTGCTTTAAGAGGTATTCCTGGCGGATGGCACCTGCCCTCGGAGAGAGTCTCCTCTCCGTCTGGAGCTTCTAGACCACTCGGAGTCGGCTGTACTAGAGGGGCGTCTTTGAGACATGGACTTCGGTTCCGGTTAGCCTTTGTCGTGGTGGGCGGGGAAAAATGCCCAGGTAGTGTTCTCGCAGTGGTAATTAAGCTATTATGCAGCATGTTAACATTTTAATTCAATAGAAAGAAATAATATTTTGTGGATTAAGTTATGAAACTTTGAAATTTGATTGCATTCTTTTGAGTTGATGAGTTGAAGTCGGTTTAAGTTACATAATTTGGTAACTAGAGCATATGCACACAAATGCAGTCTAACATACTTTCGCAAAATACGAAATTGTAATTACGACAATGGGTGTGTGTACGAAAAATGACAATACAAAATCGTGCATATAGATTAAACTTAAGATTTTCTATTCACAGATCTGAAATTTGTACTGCCGAGTCGATTATTTTGTCAAACAAGTCCTAAGATTGATTTTTTATAATATAATATTTATTTTCTTTTTAAAAGTGATTACATAGAAATAATATGTTAATAATTCTACTTGCATATGAAATGTTACACCATCCTTTGCAAATCTGTTTTTAAAGCAAATTACTGAACAATTTGTTTTTTTTTGTGTTCTGACTTACACTCTCGCGACTTGAGTCAGTCTAGTGAAATATCCAAGCGCAACTAGTTTTGTTTTTGAGCTGGCCCAACAGCGGAGGAAAATTGACAGAGGGCAACGCTGTGAATGCCTACTCCCCTCCCCGCGTCAGCCGCTTTGCTCTATGCCTCAAGCATTACGTGACCACCCTTTTTTGTCTGGGAAATGCCTTACGCATCCTTCAACCACTGGGGGAGCGAGAAGAAGGTATGTGGGACTCTTCCCTGCGCTTATTGGTGTTTAATGTTCCTATTGTGAAAACCAAATTGTATAATGCTATCTAATAAGTAATGTACTTAAATAGATTATCTTTTGTTCATGAATAAACTCTTCCTCCTCCTTGAGTCGCATTCCTCATTACTGAGGGTCGTGACCTCCTTTCTGCATCACTTTCTTCCGTATGATGGTCTTCCATCTGTTCCTGTCTTTGGCGGTGTAGAGGGCATTGTGGACTGTCGAGTCTAGAGCGGTGCGAATCTGGTCAGACCAACGTATTGGGCTGCGTCCACGCGGTCTTTTTCCCTCTACTCTTCCGGTCACAATCAGCTTCTCGAGGTTGTCACTGTCATTCCTTGCAATGTGGCCGAAGTACTTAAGGACTCTGCGCAAACACTCGGATGATAGGCGTGAGGAGATTTTGAGATCACGCAATAGGGAGACGTTAGTCCGGAATGCTGTCCAAGGTATACGGAGCATCTTTCTCCAGCACAACGTCTCAAAGGCCTCGATGCGTTGGCGATCTGCAACTTTCAGGGTCCAGTACTCAGCGCCATACGAAAAAATCGAGAAGACTAGAGTCCGTACCAGTCTCGTTTTGGTCTTTACGGATATGTTGCAATCTCTCCAGATTTTGCCAAGCTGAGACATGACGCCCTTAGCTATGCGAATTCTCCTGCGTACTTCCATATCGCACACCCATTATTGCTGATGTTGGAATAAACTCTTACCCTTAGAATATTAGTCTAACCATTCTTCTTTAAATTCCCAGCTGCATGAATGCCCATGTTCCCCTGTGTGCCTAATTAAACCTAAAACTCCACCATTAATAAACGAAGAATAAGCTTTGATCAGTTACTCCATGTTTTGTCTCTGTTCAGGGCTTGTATACCGGTTAATTTTCAAACCTTAATCAGTGTCAAGTACATTAGGAGCGTTTTATATAGGTTTGGCTCTACCTTAACCTTAAAAAACCGGTTTTAGTAAAGAGCGAATTTAAATAGGTTTTGAATCAATTTAGCGGTTTTTAAAGGGTTTCGTTTCGCTCTTTCTGACGGCATCGATAATAAATGAATAACTTGGCTCACTAGACGCTAGCAAACGTGTCAGTAAATGCATCAATCTCTGAGCATTAACAAGTTGTGATTTGATTAGTTCAAACAAAACGAACTTCAAGCGATGCTGACGCGTGCACGTGTCGCTCTGGATTAAACCGGTTTATTAAGGTTTTAGGTACCGCTTTCATTTCGGACGCGCTCCGAACGAAACCTTTACTAAAAACCGGTTTTAACCTTTATTTACCGGTATTTTCGAAACCCTGTCTCTGTTCATTGAATGACAAATGGCATTTGAGCGATAGGAACAAAACACGGTGTAACTAGTCTAAGCCTACTCCTCGTTTATTAATAAGGGGGTTGTGGTTTAGGCAAACTCATATAAAAAAAGGATACATACCTACGGTAGCTAAATGTATACCTTTTAGATGAGTTAAAAACAACTGAAAATAAATTGAAGGGAATAAGTATATTGTAACTTAACCTACATTTATTCTAGGCACCTTTACGAGAATGCAAACGTACCTTCACTTATTTCTACATCTCAACTAATTAATTAATTTTAGTAACACAGTGTAAAGATTTTTTACATCTGGCAACCCCAACGCCATGCACGAATGCGCAAACGCCCTCGTCTCGTACGGTGTGCGTACCACTCGCAGCGTCGCTCTCGGCAGCGGCACCGAAATAATAATGCGGCATGGCGGCTGCGGCTGCTGGGTTGCTCCCGTCCGACTAAGTGGTGTTGTACTTTAATAAATGAAACTTGTATTGGCTTGGGTTGGGGTTAGATCGGTTCTCTTTTGCTAGACTAAGCATTCTTATATTCGATGATAATAATGTTTTAATTAATTATCAAATATTATCACACTATTTGTTTGATGATTTTTATTTCAGGTGCTGTTATTCAATAAAAGTGTTGTTGCAAAAGAAAAGTAAACAAAGTGACAAGTGGTATTATCATGATATATTCAAATACTACATGTAATTAATGATAACTAAAAAGTAGGTGTAGTGAGAGTATTATCTTGGAATAATGACAGATTTATAGAATGGCATTATCTGTAAATGAAGAATATTACCTGTGATATTACATATTTGTGCAACCAGAACAAGTGTACATTTTTCAAACAAAAAGTGAACGATTTTCCAATGTTGACAGCTGTAGTAGCGGTTCTATTAATTAAAAAGCACAACTGCCGTAAAACAAATTAACTTAAAATTACACTAAAAACTGTAAAATAAGTTTTAATTTTAGAATAATACGAAATGATATTATATTTTGAATGCAATCGGAGGACTTTTAAAGTCATCTACTAATTAAAAAACATTTCCCCGACTGCATTAAAAAATATACTATTATTCTGTCTTATTTGAAAAATAAAACTTATTTTTCTTTTTAGTTTAGTTTTTTTTATTATTAAATTTTATCTACATCGTTTAAGTGCCTTGTAAAAAAATATGCTTGAAGTAATCAATGTTATGTCCTAGAACATATCACATTGAGGTCTGAATATTTTATTTACAATAAAAATGTAATGGTATTCGAAAGACGCACAAAAACAATTGTGGCGATGTAAGTAATAAAAGTTTCACTTTAAAATATAACCCTACTTCTGGGTAAAAAGTTCAGTTTTTAATACTTAATTAATTTATATAAGTACCTTAACCTATTTTATTATATATATATATATACATATATATATCTCAATGAACTGTGAATATTATGGTAGGTAAGTTAAAATACATAGTGAGTACTCAAAAAACACTACCCTACTTCTAGGTAAGAAGTACTAACAACTTTTCAGTCTATGATAAATCCGTTAACTCATGTTTTTTTGTCTGTACTAAAGTAAAAGGCCACGTGGGAATAGCCCAAGTATCGATCGGCATGCGTTTGCGGCATGACTAGGGTTGCCACCCGTACTTTACTATAAAGTATTGTACGTTATTTCGGGTAATTGTATTCTATACTTTATGCCAACAAAATTACTTTATTTAATGTGATTTGATTACTCGCCGATTAATTTTACATAAAATATACAAAAATGGGTTGACAGGAAGAATTTTTGCGTAAATCGGACAGAAAGTATGAATATGTTGCCCTTAGCTAATTCGTGCAACATTTTCGTGGCTGTGTGCCTTTGTATCATGACCTTTCCGCCGCAAATTATTTATTATAAGTTGCTAGTAGTAACGTAAAATATATTTTTAATCTGACTAATAAAGTGGAATAAAAAGTACTTTATTTTGGACACAATGTACTTTATTTCGACAAAAAAAGGTGGCAACCCTAAGCATGACCCACGCCACGCTAACAACGTGCGCCTCGCGCGCCGCGTACCAACACCAGTGTCGAACGTGCGTCGTACTCGATTAACCGCGTCATCACGTAACAAAAACGATCAAAACCATAACAAAATATCACCATGAACAAGTTCCTTTTGGAAGTAAAAGCTTTGCCGATCCTCTGGGATGTGAACCACATGTACTTTCGAGATGTACTAAGGAAACGGGACACGTGGGAGGCCGTGGCTGAGAAGTGCGGCATGAAAGACGGTTAGTATACTGAACGACGCTTATCCCGTGCGTTATAGAGTGTATTTTGCCACGTTTTGTTTTGTGTTGACTTATGTTGATAAAACTACAGACTGCGTCGCGAATGTTAGCGTTCATTTTGTGCGCTGTCAAAAATGATAAGGATAGTTTTGGTAGTAACAAAATGACTTCTTTGTTTTTGTTTATCAATTGTGATTTTATCTTACTGTTATATAAATTATACTTATTCCTTACTGTTAATAATAATTAAGTGGGTATGTGCAGTTAAATAAATTATTAGATTACTGTTTAAATTTCAATCACTTATTTATTTTAAATCGTGTTTAAAAATTGAACAAAAGGCTAGTTGACCCTATTTGGAAAAAGGTTTTAAATGGTTAATAAATGTTCTATTAGACCGAAAAAAAAAATTATTGTATTTTTTTGAGAACTAGAAAGCTACACATCTTTAATTTTTAAATAGACTTTTCATGGACATACAAAAACGCTGTCGGCCATTTTAGTCTATATATTATCTATGCTATGAAGTCAACCGGTAGTAAACAAAAACTCGTAAGCACGTAGAAAATAACCTATCTGAGTTTATAATAAAAAAAACATGATTTCTAATAAATACCACGAAAAATATAGTAATTATCATTATTGTATTGTACGAGAATGTAAAAACACACCCTTGAAGACTCCAGGAAAGTAGTGGATTAAAGTGCCGAAAGAAATGAACATTCGCAATACCTGGTTAGAACTTGCTGAAAGGGATCCTGCAACTTTATCGACTCATAGTAAAATTTATTCTAAGATCACTTTGATGTAAGTACTCATTGAATAATATTTTAAGTCTCTTCATTTTTCATCAGTTTTACTAATATACGTTTTAAGGATATGTATGAATGACATTTAGTTGTTTACTACCAAAGAGACGTCACAATCATGGCGAATCTGGCGAACAGCGTTTTGAGTGTTTAAAAACTATAAACAAAATAATATTTTTTTTAAATTAAATTTTTACAGCAATCTTCTGCTTCTATGAAGTGAAATCGATATATTTAGGTTCCTGAGACCATATATTTTAAGAAATAAACATTTATTTAAATCAATTCGACATGAGTCAACTAGCCATTTCGTAAGGATGCTGGCCACCCTGTCAATAACGTCATATTTTTACTTGTATCCTGGCTATGTCATTTGCTAATAAAAAAAAAAAAAAAAAAAACGTCATATTTTTAGTGTGTAGCAACTTATTACGTCAACAAAATCACTAGGCAAATGTCAATCAGTACAGTCATGCATGATATTCGTGAAAACGTGGTTCTTCTTGAAATAAAGTACCCACAAAATACTATACATATAATGTAATGAAAGATGAACAGAATCATTATCACGGCTTTAGTTACCCATTGAATAAGTATATTTGATACTTTGGCATTAAAAATACATACATAAACTTGCCGTTAACCAATCAATAATTATTGTATTTGGACCAAAAAAATTGTATTGTATTTTTTAATCCGTTCTAGGTAAAATAAATCTGGCGTCCAGCATTATATTAGTAAACAAAACCAATAAACGGGAACTTTTCTACAAGATTTAAGAGTCTTTAGATATATTTTAGCCAGACGAAAGAAACCAGAGCAACACGACAATGTTTAGTTGTTTACACATTTTGTGACGCCACAATCATAGTGGACAGCGTTTTTAGTGTTTTAACAGCATGTACTTAAAACAGATTTTCAAATTAAATTGCTACAGCCATCTTCTTATTTTATGAATTAAAATCGGTTTTAGGTTTGTTTAGGTTCCTCATACCAAAAATTATAAGAAATAATCATTTGTATAGTACAATTTGACATGAGTCAACTAGCCTATTGTGATCGTAAGTGAGATTGCATCTTACAGAATACCGATGCAGGTGAGCCAATGGCTCGTTGCGTACGTAATGTAAATACTATGGTAAATGTTCGATCCTACATCTGGACAATGCAACGCGATCCATAACATGACACACATAGCCGTCATTTTCATGTTCTGCCAAATATATATCATGTCATAATTAGAATACAGTTGTTTCAAAAATTCTAATAATTTAAAGATCGTAGCAGACGTATAAACTTGGGAAGGGATCATCCTCGTATCAACTCGAGCCGTACAGTATTCTTTTATATGAAACCCTTCAGCTATAACGCACACTACATTAATCGGAATCGTAAGTCGTAACGCAATCGCTTCGACACGAGCTTTCCCGAGGCGAGGCGATTACGTTACGATTCTAATTAGAATGCGTTGCAGTATGAAGTTTCATACAAAGATTACTACTGAACGGCTGGATTTGATAAGGTGACGATCCCTCTCGTAATTGATATGACATCTGCTATGACAATTATAAATGTATCGTATCGACCCTTCTTTAAGGCTAAGGCTACACTACAATATGCCTAACTTAGTGACAATCTAAAAACTATGTAGGTCACATAGCTAAGCTCTAATGTGTGTGACCAATTGTGATATAATTGCGATTATGCGCCAAGCTTAACTTCTTGTAATGTATAGCCTTAGCTTCAAGAAATCATTATTGAAGGTGATAAAATATAACGTGTTGTATAATATTTTACAGGCGAAGAAGCCAAACAGCTATGGTCAAAGATAAGATGCAGTCACAGGGAAGCAATGAGGAGACGATCCGAGCATAATAACCTAGGAGAGTGGAAATACGAGAAACCCATGGAGTTTCTCCTAACGCGCAACATTGAGAATAATAGTGCTTTGAATAGTGATAATGTTGTAGAGACAGGTTTAAAAGACAAATTCAACATTGAAGTTATAAAAGCAGGAGTTACCGATGAAAGAATCCAAACTCTTAATGATAATCCTGTAGGGTCATCATTAGGTTTAACTTCAGTAAATCTTGATCCAAAGAAAAATCATAAAAATCATACGGATATGGTTAGAAAAATTAACGATAACAGGAAACGTTCACTCGATGTCACAAGCTGTGGAACTGATGAGAGAGTGACAGAAAACCAATTAGTCATCAGCCCTCCTACAAATAGTGAGAGAAAAAACGACGGTCTAGCTGAATTGTTTACATGTTTGCGCGAGAAAACGAGAAATCTACCAAAATATTTGCAGCTACGTGTACAAAGGGAGATATTTGAATCAATCACAAGGGCAGAAGAAGAAGCTCTCACTCTTTTGACAAGCGAAACTTCGACGGACACTAGAAAACGAATCGAAGTTAAAAGCACAACTAAGAAAAAGTTTGTGGAATCTTCTCCACAAGACCAAATTTATTTGGCAGAAATTCCGAAATTAGTAAATCTGAAAACACGAGAAATGAATATTTCTGAACAGAGGCAACTTTCCGATGATCCGATGGAGAATTTTGTAATGAAAGTAGAACCCGATGAAGAAGATATAGAATATGTGCTGTCCTCGTAATGATAATTGTAAGGAAATAAATGTCTTTTTCATCCCACCACCTCGGAAAGTGTAATTTTGCGCTTCGAAATCTGGCTGGAAAATTCTATTTTATTCGCTTGAGCGGCAAAGTAGATTTGAATTTAGAACATCACATATAATGAGTACTCAATATAATTGTAAATTCAAAACGTCATTAAACCTATTTAATGTAACCTCTATGGTGCCAAATTTATGATTAGAACTTTTTAAATTGTAAAAAAAATTAAATTTGGAACCTTCTTGGTTTCTTTGTTTTATTTGCGTGCTTCGCGCCATTCTAGTTTTTCACGTTTTATTGCTTAATATAATTAACATAACCTAAAAACTGTACAAAAAAATCAACTAAAATGAGTGACATTAGCGACGATGAAGTTTATCTAACGCCAACTGAGTTAACTGAAACAGTTAATAATGCGCAAATGAGCCTTCTCCCTCAGCAATCACGAGAGAAGTATTTGAAACAGTACGATATATTTAACATGTGGCGACTAGCTAAAGGAGCAAAAACTTTCTCCGAAAACGTTTTGCTGGCATATTTTATAGAATTATCTGAGACCAAGAAAGCAAGCACGCTATGGAGTACGTATTCAATGCTAAAATTAACAATTAAGATGAAGAAAGACGTTCATATCGACACCTATCATAAATTAGTGGCATTTTTAAAAAGAGCCTCATCTGGTTATAAACCAAAAAAATCGAAGGTTTTCACAGCATCTGAAATTGCAAAGTTTATTAATGAAGCACCTGATTCCGTATATTTAGCGGCAAAAGTAAGTCAATACGTGTAATTTTTTGTTGTTGATAAAATTGTACATAGTACTTACAATATTTTTAATTTGATTAATTTATTTACGATTATAAATACTTCTTTTGTTACAGGTTGTTCTTATTATTGGTATAACCGGAGCATGTCGAACAAATGAACTTACACTACTTAATGTCAATAACGTATCAAAATATTCTCATAATTCTGATGAATTGCTATTAATTAATGTACTAAATACCAAGACAAAAAAAGACCGCAACTTCGTTATTCGCAAGGAATATGTAAACATTGTTCAGAAATATCAAGCTTTACGTCCTTCTAACACCCCAATTGAACGATTTTTTCTACAATATCGCAACGGAAAGTGTATCCGACAACCTATGGGTCAGAATAAAATTGGCAGTATTCCACGAGAAATAGCAACTTTTCTCGGACTTTTAGAACCCCCGTTATACACCGGTCACTGTTTTAGAAGAACCTCAGCCACACTTTTGGCCGAATCAGGGGCTGATCTTCTATCGCTTAAGCGCCATGGAGGCTGGAAGTCTAATTCGGTTGTAGAGGGATACATAGAGGATTCAATCCAAAGTAAATCAAAAATTTGTAATAGTATCGTGGAGGCCATAACGCTGAAAGAACCTCTGTCAGATTCTTGGTCTCGCCCTTCTACATCTAAAATGAGCCCCCATAAGATTGGAAACAATAGCCCTCTCTCGCCAACATTTACGCCAATAGAATCCAATGAATCGGCACAACTATTTAAAATTACTGATACGAGTAGTTTACCACAAAACAGCGCACAATTCACAAACACCAACATAACATTACCTAACAAAAATATTAAACTTAACATAAGTAACTGTAGCAACGTTACATTTAATATTTCTTAATTATTTTCTACTTCTTATTATTTTCTTCAATTTATAGATTATCTTAATGTGTTTTAATTGAAATAAAAATATTTTGTCATTATAAATTGTTTTCTTTTTCATTTTGTCATTTCCTCGCTGAGGTGGGATGAAAAGTTACGTATTGCACTCGAGTGGAAAGATTTTTCACCTTGTGCTCGTTTGTTTCCCTCGCTGACGCTCAGGATTCTAATTTAGAATCACTCGCTGCGCTCGTGATTCAACTTTAGAATCCTTCGCTTGCTCGGTCATCCAAATCGAGCACGCGGTTAAAAAGGAACTTTCCACTCTTGTATAATAAATAACTATTTTTAAATTTTATTTTCAAATAGAAAAACATTTGATAAATAGTATTGCCAACTCTATACCAGGGGTGGGTGCTAAAAGACACCTCAAAAAGTGCTACATTGCTATGTATTTCCAGAAATAGTGATGAATGATGATAGTTGACGACCTCCGTGGCCGAGTGTTTTATACGCCGGGTTTCATGGTGTCGCCGAGTCGAGAGGTCCCGGGTTCAAATCCCGGTGGGGGCAGAAGTTTGTGTGATGAATAGTCATGGGTGTTTAATATGTATTTCTTTATAAATATACTTATATATGTACAATATATGTATTCTATCCGTTACCCTAGTATCCCATAACATAAGCCTTACAGTGCTTACTTTGGGGCTAGGCTAATTGGTGTGAATGTTGGAAATATATAAAAAAAGGCGAAAGTTTGTGAGTGTGTATGTTTGTTACTTCTTCACGTCTAAACGGCTGGAGCGATTTCAATAAAATTTGGTATGAAGTTAGCTGACACATAGGCTACGTTTTACTGCGGGAAAATGTCCCTAATAAAACGCGGGTAATACCGCGGGGCACAGCTAGTAAAGTGATAAAATCGTACGGGTAAAATTATGAATTTTTCATAGGCAACCAAAAAACTGTTGTCTGTCATAAACTGTCATTATTTCAAAACCACATTGCATTTAAAAATGGCTCTCTTATTACCTTGCATTTTGTGTCATATTTTTTAGCATGCTTTTATTAGTTTTACCTGTATGTTTGTTTGTATGTATGTAACTGACTCGTTTAGACTCGATTTTGCCCAACTTTAAGCGATCAGATTTACTTTAAACGTTGTAGAATTATCAACGATCGACGACAATACAATATTTTGATAAGCTTATTGATAATAACGTGGTAAAACATATTAGTTTTATTGACACGCTTCTATTAGGTTGACTTGTATGTAACTATGTAATAAAATCTAAGAATCTGAATTACACTCCCTTCTAATTCCTGTATCATCATAAAACTTGGCAATTATATGTAGATTAGATGACAATAGAATGTACCATCGAGCTGGTCTGATGATGGGACTGGAAGGTGGCTGATGGAACCTTGGACTGCTACTAGTAAACATATCGAGTTTGGGCCCATTAGATTCTCTTAACATATTCTATTATTTTTTTCTAATGACTGAAACTAAAAAGAGTAAAATAAATGAATACCTAGTTAAAAAAACTGAAAACACGCTTTTATTTACTGCACTAAAAAGTCAAAAATAAACAGAATATACTCTCTGTTTATTTCATTTATTTTAACACATGTATATACCTATAATTGAAAAAGCGTAATATATTAATAGATTTGATAAATATTGCAATGAATAGCACCCCATACTTTTTCAATTAACCTAGCCTATGTTAAAATAAACTATAAACATGGCTAACTCTAATCTAAGGCCCTAATGAAGTAAGCGGAGAGAGTATATTTTGTTTATTTTTGGCTTTTTAGTGCAGTAAATAAAAGCGTGTTTTTTTTAACTATTATTTTTTTTGTTTAGAATGATTGTTTTAATGTTTTTTTAAAGTTATGATGGTTCCCAAATATATGTTAAAAACTACCTATCCTTTTCTAATGAGCTTTTAAAATGCCGACAAAAGCGAAGATTAGATTTATCTTATCATTATTGCAGCTAGGATGAAGTTGAGAACCGATCACGTCCGCAAGTTTCGTGTGGCGTACGACAAAGTTCTAACCGAGTTCACAAATAAAAGTGTCGTAGAACTTTGTACAGCAATATTGGGAAGTGGATTGGATTGGGTCTTAGATACGATGTTCTTTAATTAAAATCTATAATAAATAAATATTTCCAACACTCACACCACTTGGCCTAGCCCCAAAGTAACACAGTAACGGATAGAACACACATATATACTATACATTTAAAAGTAGATTTAGATAGAAGTACACATTAAACATCCATGACTGGAGTACAAATGCTCGTATTCATCACACAAACATCTGCCCCCACCGGGATTCGAACCCGGGACCTCTCGAGTCGGCGACACCATAAAACCCAGCGCACAAACCACTCGGCCACGGAGGTCGTCATCTACATTTACACAAAAAATGTTATTTGATTTAAATTATCTACTGTGACTTTGTTGTCACAGAATTTATGAAAGCTCTTTTTAACCGACTTCAAAATGGAGGAGGTTCTCAATTCGTCAGTATAATTATTTGTTTTTTTTTTTATTGTTAAAATCATTCGACCAGTGGAAAGGCAAAATCGCTTATATGCCACTGATCGAAATGAGTTAAGTATGTACCTATATCATTTTAATCAGATTTTTTTTGTGCGTCGATCTTTTTATGTTTCTTGTAGATTTCAGTCCTTTCCTGCGCTTAAGCAACTCAATTTTTTGACGATTTTTGTTGTTGACAACGCTGAAGCGACATAAATTTTGGTGCTTTTTGAACCTGAAATTTGGCGATTTGATATTTGCTTGAGAAAAAACGGTATGGCGGGCCGAGTGATTTTCGCTTAAGCGACATCTAATTCGTAAAGGTACTATATAACTCTTTAATAGGAGGATATTTAGAGAATATTATTTAATGAATTCGTTTTTATTTTTGGAGTTTACTCCTTAAGAATCGATTTGCATATACTATAAGGGGCCCGGTATGAGAAAAATGTGAGGAGTAAAATCTATCGATGAATGAGTTACGTTTTTGGTGCGCATCCTTTGTCGCACAACTTTGACAAACAAAGATGACGGATTGACATTAATAAAATTTTTAAAATCTGAACTGAATTTAGATATTGTTTCTGATAGAGCAATGGGGACAACGAGGTATGGTACAACCATTGATGCGGTATTTTCAAGATTCGTGAACCACGTATCTACGAACGACCATGTGTCTTATTTTAGTTACCATAAACCACTTGTCACTGTAATTAATAATGCAGACAATGTTGATTTAATTAATATTTAAAAAAAATGATAATAGTCTGATAATAATAATTACATAATTTATCAACATTCCTAATGATATATTTAT